ACTTAAAAGTTGGTGAGTTACTTCGTAGCTGATGTAGAGACATCCCTACTCTTTGGGATGCTCTCAGTGAGCTGCCTGGCTACTTTCCTTAGCTTCAGCTTCCTTTGTCTGACCTTTCTAAAGCCTACTGGACAAGATGTAAAATAATCCCCGACCAAGCACTACACCCTAAAAACATAACACTTTCTCTGCACTAGTAAAATCTGAATGTGCAGGATACTCAGAGCAGCCTGTACTTCTCCTTTCCAACATGAAAGCAGCATTCTAAAGCCTGTCCACCTCCAGCTATTTCAGAGGCAAGTTAGGCCCACCATCTAGTGTGTTCCTCAGGCACAGAGAATGCAACTCCAGCTGTCTGAGTGCTTTCTACAACTCTTCTTTCCAGCTTTGGGAAAAAAGAGATTCATTCCTCGTGGTTCTCACTTAGGGGAGACAAGGACTCACAACATACCAATGATGCTCTTCAAAGACAATCCTTGAGTAAGCTGCAAAACTTCTTTTCTCAAATTTTGTTTCTAGCTGGGGCTATTTAGTCAAGAATATAATTAAGGGCAATTTAATTGCAAGTTTTTCTAGATTGGGAGTTGTTAATTAAGAATGCAAAAACAGTTTTCTGTTCCTCCTCTTACAAGGCATAGTCAGTAGACTTGGTTTGCAAAGTGAATCATATGCAAAATGGAGATTGAAAAAGTCCCATTCCATCTGAAAATTCTCTTACACATGAAATCCTATTCAATCATTAAAAATGACCAAGTTTTAGAGGCTGAAGGACAGAACATTGTGACATTATTTGAAAGGCTGCAGGACAGAACATTGTAGCACATTATTGTTGTTGTTAAGTGTTATCAAGCTGGTTCCTACTCATAGCAACTCTGTGTAGGGTTTCTGAGGAGCAGTTGGAGGGTTTAAACCACCAACTTTGCAGATAGCAGTAAAGTGCTTCTCCCAAAGTCCTACACCAGGACTCGACAAATTACTACAGCTGTGTAAAAAATGTGTACTAAACATATTTTTAAGACATAGATAGCCATGGAGATGATTCTACACATCCAATGTTTTGATATTGTTGTTGTTGTTGTTAAGTGCTTTGATATAAGAACAGTTAAACTGTAGAGAAAATAAAACAAATTTTTTTCCCAAAAAATATATGGCAAATAGGCATATTATTTGTAGCTTATACATGTAATTATACACAGATATTATTAATGAAGATTTAGAACACCAGTTAATAATATTAACAATAAAACAAAAACAAAATAATAGTGAAGATTTTTTGGACACTTGTATTCTAACTCATTTAACCTGAACAACAAGACTGTGAGGTAGATACCATGGACATCATGAACTTCCAGATGAAAAAAATAAGGCACAAAGAGATTTATAAAATGGAGGATTCTCTTTCTACTAGTCACACTTTCTGGTAAGATTTTTAAAAATAAGAGTTAATAAAATGGGATCTTTATGATTGCAATATTAGAGATTAGCATGTCAGGGTATGCAAAAAAGAAAAGAAGTAATATTTTGTTGGAAACTAAATGTTATATAACATGATTCACTTTAAGAATTATTAGTAGATGATTGTTGGATCAGAAATTCTCCAGTAATATTGTTATTGTTAAGTGCCATCAAGTGGGTTCCCACTCAGCAACGTTGCATAGGGTTTCTGAGGCTCAAACTGACCTGGCCGTCCAGCGCATTATCCTACAGTGCCACACCAGGACTCCAGTAGTATGATTTTATTGTGACCTTATATAGCATTTCCAATGAGCAGCTGGTGAGCTTGAACCGCCAACCTTACAGTTTAAACCGACCTTGCAGTCCAACACATTATCCCACAGCACCACACCAGTAATATAGAAGCCTAAAATCTCCAAAGTAAGGTATGTAGATCAAAGCTTATAACCAAGGTGTAAATACATACAAGATTTGGCTTAATCATTTTGGATTGGTAGGAAAATTCCTTCTGCAAAGTGTGGAAAATCACCAAAGACTTCAAGTGAGACCTATAGAACCAAGTCTCTATCACATACAAATTGTATTACCTGGGACAAGTTCTTAATTGTTCTAGGATTTAATGTCCAATAAGATGGGCTAGGCCATAGCCTACTATGTTACTCTTAATTTTGTGATTCTGTTAACTTGCCATTGTTGAAGTCGAGTTGGGTCCAACTCATAACAATCCTGCAAAGGGTTTCCCATGAACAGTTGGTGTTTTAACCACTGACTTTGTGGTTAGCAGCCCGGTGCTTGAAGAGCCATCATGAAGAGCCACCATGATACCATTCTTCATTATAGAAAAGATTAACAACAAAAAGAGAGTGCAATTTTAGGTTTATTTTGTTAATATTCCAAAGGAAAGGCTTAATACAATTGAGGGCACACTCCCATAAATTAAGGAGCTCTGGTAGCATAGTAGTTATGAATTGGGCTGCTAATCTCAGGGACAGCAGTTTGAAACCACCAGATGTTCTATGGGAGAAAGATGAGGCTTACTGCTTGCGTAAAGATTCACAGCCTCGGAAACCCTGAACAGGATCACTATGAGTCGGCACTGACTCCACGGCACACGACCACCACCCTAAAATGGTCATTTAAAATTTTATG